GCCAAGGAACAATAGCCACAAATAAGTTGGAACAGAATAGCTTTAAACTGTCAAAAAAGTAAGGGAAAGGAGACAAAGACCTCATTGTGTGAGGCAGTGTCTGTCTTACACACACTCTTAGATGGTAAGGCTCTTCGGCATGCCCCACTGCCACGAACTCCAGAGACTCGGAGTAGAGAATGCAATGGATTGTGGACGCACTGCAAAAATAATTTATTAACTTGCTTAATAAATTAACTGTAATTAACCCATGTAATTAACCCATGTAATTAACCCATGTAATTAACCCATGTCCCGACTTCCCAGACCTGATATGATCCGATCCATGTAAACACTAGCTTCATGTAAAGCCGTCCTCAGATTCTAGTGAGCTGGCTTTCTTCCGGGTCCTTGGAAAGTCTACACTAGTGGCTATCCCAAGGCCATTGCATCGCCTAGAACACTTTTCCCTTGGCTACCATCTTCCGGTATATTTCACATAAGTTCAATTTAAACCCACCGCCTCACTTCCCGGTCAATCTATCACATAACCCATTTCCTGCATGTCCCTTGGTCCCTGCCTGAAATTCTCTTATTTGCCATTATTTTGTTTTCTGCCCCCATCTTCTTCGACAGAGCATCAACTGCACATACGGGGGATTGCTGTGCTTCACTCATGGTTTTGGTTTAGCTGATACCTAGGAAAGGAATGAACAAATAAACCAATAAAGCGTAAAGGAGCCCATAATGGAACTACTTGGGGGGGGGTAGATTTCACAAAGAAAAATGGGATTAAGAAATAAAATTAGGGAGAGGAAAAAAACAGCAAACAAGGCCAGGGGTGTGGGAATTGGCTGTGGTAATTTTTATATATGTAACTTTTATATATGTAGAACGAGATGTGCAACGGGGCCTTTCATGCTCAGCTACTTTTCGCTGTTACGAGTTGTCTTCAGCGTGCTGACGGCATCTGTCCTCAAGGGTTCTTTCTTGGGTTGTAGGTGTTACTCCAACTTCCTAGGGCTTCGACGAGAAACACCTACAAAAACTGTCCCTGGGGGTTCCACAGCCTGTTTAGGGGGCCAGGACAAGCAACGAAAGAGTGAAGGAATGATCACTGCACTGAATAAAGTTTACATCAATGAGAGTTGAAATGGCCGGTGGCCCCAATTTATAATTATCCAAAACAAGTGTAAGTTGTGGCATTCAATTACCCATTACTATGGTAGCTTATACAGTCAGCAAGCTGTTGTCCAGACTGTTCGGATGCCATATGATGTATGTGTGTGTATGCAGTAATGGGGTAGGGAGGCTGTTTGACATGTTAGGAAAAAATCCATACATAAAAAGAATTATAGGACTGAGGAGATGGCTCAGAGAGATCTGAGTTTGATTCCAGAACCAGATCAGGCAGTTCACAGGGACCGGTAACCCCAGCTCCAGAGGAGCTGCTAGGTTTCAAAGCGCCTGACCTCAATGGATATGTGTGTGCACACACACGTTTAAAAACAAATACATCTTTAAAAAGTTTAAAAAGAGAATGGTAAGCTAAGCATAGTACATGTCTGTAATCCCATCACTTAGGAGGTAGAGGCAGCAGGATCATAAATTTAAAGTGGACAACATGTCAAGACTCTGTATAAAAATTTTAAAAATTGAGGAAAAAAAATGACAGAATTCTCTTTGGGAAGCCTCAGCGGAACCAGTGCTTTTAGCTGATGCATTGGTGCAGATACACTAGTGGCTTCTCCAGCCTGACAATGATAAATTTAAATTCTTCACCCTCCTGATAACCCACGTCCCTCAGTTCTCCTACAGCGCCCCTGCTCAGAACTTCAGCATTGACATAAAAGCTGTTAGCTCCCTTTTCCACCTCTCAGGGGCTGAACTTGTCCACTTGGAGGGCAAGGGAGATCCGCTCTTACAATCTTCCTCATTGTTTACGGGCAGATGTCAAGATAGAAGAACATTATGGAAATTCAGAAGCCAACACAATGTGACATCCAACCTGGGCAACAGCTTAAATCCTAAAATAATTGTTCATCCCCATGAGGAGAGTGGCTGGCTGCTAGTTTAATTAAGCATTATCCAGGAACATTCGTGTGTGAGATTTAAGAGAAGGAAGGTTCAGACATTCATCCTGGAACAAGTTCAACGGGAGTTTCAGTTAATTTCCAGAATGAACAATTGGTTTTTGTTTGATTGGAGGTGGGGTCAGATGTAAAATGATCCTTAGTTGCTGCAATGAAAAGCCAGTCTGTATTTCTAGCAGTCGTTGGGCTCAAACAACTATTATGCTGGTGTCAGTCACAAGCCCTGTGCCCCCACTACACAATATAGTGGATATCTTTCCTCAGAATTTACCAGTGTGGCTTAGGGAGATGGCTCACTTGATACGGGGCTGCCATACAAGCATGAGGATCTGAGGTTGCTTCCCAACACCCACAGGGAAGTTGGGCAGAACAGCACACATCTGTAAGACCCTTCGAGGGGAGGCAGCAGGATGTCAGGAGCTTGCTGCCCAGCCAGTCTAGCCAAACTGAAGCTTTCTGTTCAGTGAGAGACCCTGTCTCCAAAACTTCAGTAGAGAGCTGAGGAGGACAACTGATACCAGCCTGGGGCCATCTTCACCTGTGTGCACACACCTGAGCATATTTTCACACACGTAACATCCCCTTCAACAACATACAACTTAAAAATTTTGAATGTCTAGCTTCTTGAGTTCTTTATAAACTTTGGATATTAACCCTCTGTTGGATGTGGAGTTGGTGGTCATCTTTTCCCATTCCGTGGGCTGCTGTTCTGTCCTACTGATGGGTGTCCTTTGTTTTACTGAAGCTTGTCAGCTTCATGAGGTTCATTTATTAATTGTTGATCTCAGTGCCTGCCTACTTGGTGTACTGTACAGGAAGCTGTCTACAATTGGTCCCATCTACAGGATTGCTGGGGTAAAGGTGGAACAGAAGTGGAGGTGGGAGTGGCCAGTCAATGACTGGTCCAGCTTGGAACCCATGCCACAAGAGGAAGCCCACACTCAACACTGCCTGGCAGAGCTGGATGGCCCAGAGACTAGGATAGGGCCAAACACTGACCCGAAAAAAAAGTTAATGAAATGATTACTAATTATGCTTTATTATCCTTGTAGACCACAGCCTAGTATAATCTTCATCAGAGAGGCTTCAGGCAGCAATTGATGGGGGCGATGACAGATGCAGAGACCCACAGTCAAATATCAGGAGAAGCTTGGAGAAACTTGAAGAGGGTGAGGAAAGATTATATGAGCCAGAGGGGTCAAGGATACCACAGGAAAATCCACAGAATCAACCAGTCAGGGCTAATAGGGGCTAATAGAAACTGAACCAACCAACATTAGGGAGCCTGTAAGAGTCTAGGTCCTCTGAATATATGTTGTGGTTGTGCACCTTGGTGTTCTTGTAGGACTCCTAACAGTAGGATCAGGGGTCTCTCTGATTCTTTCGCCTGCTTTTAGGAGACTTTGTTTCCTGCTGGGTTGTCTTGTCCAGTTTTAATATGAGGGGAAATACCTAGCCTCATAGTAACTTGGTATGCCATGTTTGGTTGATATCCCTGGGAGGTCAGCCATTTTCTGAAGGGAAACAAGGAAGAGTAGATCTGGGGAAGAGGGAATGTAAGGCGGGGGACTGAGAGGATCGGTGGGGAAACTGTGGTCAGGATGCAATATATGAGAGAAGAATAAATAAATAAATAACAAAAATAAAAATTTAAAAAATTTTAAATTTAAAGTCTTCACACACACACACACACACACACACACACACACACACAGAGAGAGAGAGAGAGAGAGAGAGAGAGAGAGAGAGAGAGAGACATGCAGGCATGTGTATGTGTTCTGTCTCATAAACACGCAAACTGTAGATCTTTTGGCCGTAGCCCATACTTTCTCTTCCGCACTATAATGCTACTAGTAGAAAAATGAAATGAAGGTGAACCTTTAGGCTGCAAAGTAGGGAGAAGGCTATGCTTCTTCTATAGAGGTCACCCCCTGATTTGGACAAAGAAAAAGCCCATACCTCAAACACTGACAAAATTACAAAATATCCGAAAATGGATAAAAGCAGGATTGTCTTATCTTGCCAAGACAGGATGAGAGAGTCCTAAAAGGTTTCTTGCCTTTAAAAAATGGCATGTCAGTTACATCAGAACTTAACCAAAGTTGGTTGACTCAACATTACAAACAAGACTTTGGGTGATTGCCCAGGTATTCAGTTGTCTCTTCCATTTGTCGCACATTTCGGAAGTTTCCCTCTTGTACTTCCAGGCTGCTTGAGTAAAATTATTTCCCTTCTCAGATCTTTGATGGAGTTAAAGATTAGATAGTTGTAGTTACCCTCCACATTATTTAGACTCCTTAAAATAGAATGTTTAGTAAAATTTTTGTTATATGCTTTTTGCTTAATATTGTTTGTTGTTTGTAATTTTATATTTATTATTTGTTTCTGTTGTATATAGTAGTATTTGGTTTTGTTCTGTCTTATTTTAGAAAAAAGGGGGAGATGATAGGGAAGTTCAGCCAATCACATTCTGTCTGTGGGGCGTGTTACCCTAAGACAAAAGTTTACCTATAAACCTGGAGGGTGTATCCCCACCCCCACCCCCTCTCTTGCTCTGGCCTGGATCCAGCATTCCGGAAGGTTGGGATTCTGGTGTAAGTTTTTCCTTCTGTTTTATTAAAGCTGTATCTTTTGTAAGATAGTCTGGGGGACCTTTCATTACCGATCGCACTGCGTCTTCAACCCCTCTAGACCCTTCTGAAATGTCCCCCTGCCAAGGAATCAGACCATGACAGAAATATTGAATATTAACTCAATATTGAACGGAAGGCACTGAACCCGGGTAATTCAGAAAGTGCTTCCAGACTTGGCTGTGATGTAAAGCTCTCACCTACAGCACTGACTCCGAGTACACTACAGGTACACGGGAAAGAAGCCATTGTATTGCCGAGGAGCCAGATCGCTGCCCTGGAGACAACAGGCACAGTACAACTTTTACGTGTTTATTACACCAGGTTGAGGAAAACGAGGAGAATATGACAACATGGGCCTGCCTTTTGGGGCACATGTTCTAAGCACGCATTTGTTCTCATACCTGCGAGAAAGGAATCCATTCGAAAGCGTTGGACTGCCCACCATATTCTACCCTTAAAACCCTAACACAAGTCTTACACCACGGTGCACAAGATTTTTGGCGGCCACGAGTTCTGTCGCGAGGCAGAGCTTACAGACGATGGGAGAAGGTAACTGTCATGGACAAACTGCATGAGGCAGTGTGGCTGTGTGGAGGGACGGAGATCCAGACCGGTGGCAAGGTGCGGCTCTGGCTGCGCAATGCCCAGTGGGGGCTCTTGACTTGGATGCATTCCTCCGCTGTCCCGGTGCGTTTACACCTAGAGATAGTAAACAACGGAATATCTGCAAGCAACCATGTTTAAAGAAAGAGCTCAGTGTGTGTCTCTCCAGGAAGTCGCCAAGTACAGAAGTACTTTTTTCTAGCACTCCTAGAGCAGGCTGGGATGAAAATTGTACCGGAGGCTGGAGAAGAGTCCGATGTGTTTCACAAGGTTGGGCTCCACCACGTAGGCCCGCTCCCCCTTGGCTCTTAACAGAGAGTACAGTGCCATGTCCTTGCCAAAGCCCTTGTGGCAGTACACCTGGGACAGGTAGGTGAGGGTCCTGCGGGCTGCAGGGGCGGGGAAGAGCATAGCTGGGGTGCAGCACTGAGAGGCGGGAACCACACTGTACAAGGAGGGGCTCAGGCGCCGCAGTTCCAGGAAATAGTGTCGGCCCACCAGTTCCACCAGCCCCATGCTGTACAGGGAGAAGAAAAGCATGACCGGCCAACTGAAGCCCGGGCGACAGGCGAATTTCATGTATATCCAGGTTAGCACAGGCCCCAGCAGCATGCCCACGCCAACCCACTCCAGGATCCGCATAGGCTCCGGGTTGATGTAGTGCTGGAGCCTCTCCGGGTGATAGAGCTTCAGATACAGGGCATCCTGGAGGTGTGGTTCGGAGAAGCGAGCCCGCAGAAGGTGCTCCAATACCGGGAAGATCTGTTCTTCTGGTATGGCGTCATCCTCCACCATCAAGACATAGTCTGGATTGTAGGTCTGCAGCGATGACTCCAGGCAATAAACATAGTCTTGCTTCTCTTTCTCAAACGAGTTAGTTGAAGGGTCGTCGCCGTAATCATCCTCGGTGCCCTCGTAGCGGTTGGCCACGGGGACGTACTTAGACAGCAGCTTGGCGTCAAAATGGCTCACACTCCGCTCCACATTACACAGGAAGAGCTGGTGCCCCTCGCACTGGGGGCCGCACTGCTGCAGAAGCCGATGGAACTGCGATACTACCTGTAAGACATAGTGGAAGCCGGGCTGCCTGTCCACGGTGATAATGGTGATCACCAGCCAGGGCCGCGGGGTGGCCTGCCACACGATGGGCACAGAACCATTGGCAGAGGGCAGCTCTTCAAAGTAGTGAAGGGCAGCCTCCCCCTCCTTCAGGCTTTGCTGCAGGAACTCCTGGCTCATCTGGTTTAGATGCCAATGGCGCAGATAGAAGTAGGAGTGCAGGAGCCGGTGGCAGGCCAGCGGGGCCAGCAAGCCAAACGTCACCACAGTTAGGATGAAGAGCTGGACAGCGGTGCTGCCCCAGGAGAGTCGCCGAAGCCTCCGGAGAAGCATGGCAGTTGGAGAGGTTGGCGTGGTCATGAGGCAACTTTTGGTCATGTCTGGTCCCAAGAACAAACCATCCTGGATTTCAGGCCAGAATCATTAAGTCAAACCTAAAGAGAGAAAACAGAATCAGAAACAAAAACTTAAAAAAAAAATCCCAACAATGCAGTCCAGCACACATCAAATCAGAAACTGTAGTTCAAGGTTGTGTAGCGGCTGGAGACTCAAAAGGACTTTCCGCAGTGACAGTTTTTCTTGGGTTCTGTCTGTCAGTGAGCCTTGAGAGTCTCTCATTGTTTATGGTCAGATGTACTCTGCGCATTCAACCAACTCCGTGTCTAAAAACGTGATGTTAGCGTCACAGTGTATCATTAGATCGCCGGTGGCTGGTAAAATTATTTTCATTCACTAGCTACAAAAGACACGGCTGTTACCACAGGCACACGGGGGTCAAAGTTTGACACAGAAGAAACACACAGAGTTAGAGAAGCATCGATGCATAGTACTTGGCTGTGTAATTTCTGAAAACCTTTTCTGCATATTCCAATAAAAAAGGAATACTTGGTGGGCCTTGCTATTTAATGCCATCTTTGATTCCTCTAGTCTCATTTAATCTAATCATTTAATTCTGATTGTCCCCCTAATTTATTTGCATAGGACTATATTTGGGAGAAGACATTTTCCTTACACAAGCAAACTGTAGACTTTGAAAGGGGAGGGAATCATCCCACTGGAGAATCTACAATGGGGCTTTTCAGTGAGGTGGGTGGGGTAAGTAGAGGAAGAAACAGTTTGATTCAGAAAGGGATGTCTTGGGACATCTTCCTCAGAGCACAGGTGTGAGGTAAGGACCTCAGATCTGCTATTCAATTGGCGGGAAGCCACTTCACCTCTCTATATCCTGGATTCCTCAGTTCTCAAATAGAAATAATCACTGTCTCGTGGGTTCATGATGGATATTAAACATGTTAGAGAAGATAATTAAACAGAATTAAAATGTCATTAAAATATGCCTCATGGAGCTGGGGAAGATGACTAAATCAGTAAAGCACTTGCCCTGCAAACAAAGGACCCGAGTCTGAACCCTAAAACTAGCCCCTCCCCAAAACTGTTCATGGAAGGGCATCCTTTCAATCCTCCCACTGGGGAGGGAGAGACTAGCAGACAGGTCCCTACTTGTCAAACTTCCTGTCAGGACAGAGACCCTAGATTAAAAACAAAGTGAGAGGCTGGAAAGATGGCTTAGTGGGGAAACTGCCTGCCGTGTAAGCATAGAACACGAGTTCAAATCCCCAGATTGCACAGAAAAGCTAGCTGAGGTAGCAAGCATGTGCTCATAAAGCCAGTATTCCTCTAGGGAAATGGTAGGCACAAACCAGACTCCTGGGAGCCAGCAAGTCTGGCGTAGACAGCTGTGAGACCATCTCAAAGGAGGTGGAAGGGAAGGATGGACACTGAAGGGCTGTCTTCTGACCTGTGCAACTCATCATGGCACATTCACATACATGAACATGCAAACACACCTGTGCACATGAAAAAGAGAAAGAAAGCAAGATGGTCTTACCTGAGAAATGCTCTTAGCCTCCACATGCACATGCTTACATGTCCACATACTCCCGTACAATCTGCACACATATGTGTTTTTCACACAATTGAAAAAGTAAAACTGATGCTCATATTCAATTAATATTTGAAAAGCAAGAACTCCTAATGTTTCAGATAGAAAACCAAACACCAAAATTTAAGATAATGAAGCTAGTGTAAGAGTAGTAGGCTTAATGCAAGACTGATAGCTATAGTATCAAAAGCATACTCTTGCGTCAGAAGCATGGTATTCGCAGACATTTCGAAGAAAGTGGTCCAGCTTGTGAATGATGGAGGGAGGGCTGTCTGTGTCTCATGAGGTTGCGGTTGTTCTGTCTGCCGGCACTCCCTACTTGCAGGCTACCTTTAGCAACCAACCACACACTGAACTTCATTTCCTAGCATGCCTTCTTCAGGGTCATATGACTCGGGGTTGGCAGTAATATGTGAGCTGAAAGGAGAGTCTCTATGGGTCTAGATGAAGGTCTGTCCCAACAGCTCACCTCATTCTCCAACATCTCTACTGGTTAGTGTTGTGAGCTACATGAAGCCAAGTGTGTCACCCAGTAATGATTTGAGGGCTTGTTCTTTAGAGTAGTGATCCTCACCTGCCTTCCACAGTCATGTAGAACACCAGACATTTCTCTACAGTGTTGTGACACATTTCAAGGAAGTCGAGACAAGAGACAAGACTGCGACAAAAGACAATGGTCCTGGGAATCCAGATGTGAGTCAAACCATTTTAGTACTGTCAAGAGATCTGGAGAGCTGACAGAGGGGAAGAAGCAAGAAGCTTTTGGCAGCACATGACCCTAGGCTTGCTGGTTTGTGAGTATCAGTGTACTATAGACTGGTTCTTTCTCCCTCTGATCTGCTTAAGTTCACAGAGTTAGTACACCACAGACTTGTACATCACCTGACCTAATTAGTTCCTCATCATGACTACTGGGCACCCAATATTGGACCTGGGGCAATCCCACGCCTCTAGCGTAGCAGCTCTGGGAACAGGACCATTTGTGGGGCTTCTTGCCCCCACTATTCTCCCTGCCGTGGTTATTAGTCAAGGGAGCTAGTCCATCTAGACGAAGGGCTTACATACAAAGGCACCAAGATGAGGAAGTCAGCTTGGAAAATACCGGGAGCACAATAAAAGCTATGGATTACAATGATATGGCAGGAGGGACAGAAGCAGGAGTGCCCGTGTCAACATAAAGAGGACCTTTGATCCCAGGAGCTTTCTCCACGGGAGGAGATCAAACCACAAACATCTCGCAGTCCCTTACTGCAGGCTGCAGTTCCATAGGTGATCAGGGAAGGAGAGGAACTCAATCATAAGTGCCGAGGATCTCTGCTTGCAGGGATCAGCTCCCACTGGAGTGACAAACAGCCACCAACCTTGATGATTTATGACAAGGACCTAGCACTCTTGCACACAGATCTGTTGACACTGGTCGTCCTAGTGGATTCAGGGACAGAAGTAGATTAGAAGCAGGCAGCCAATGTGCTTCTCCTTATGGATCAATGTGTAGAGGAAATGGCTACCAGGGCTGTGAATCTTAGGTCAGGTAGATGCTCAGACTGAGTCAAATTTGCATCCTCGCTGGTATGCCAAGAGATGAAATCCACCCATTCCATCCACCAGTCACAGCAACAGGGGAAGGAAACTCTCCTGCAGAGCTAGGGAAGCAGGAAGCTGATGGTCAGAAACAAAGGGCTGCAGGATGATCGCTAGACTCCCATGAGAAAAGAAAGGATCTAGGTGCTCCAAGAAAGCCCCAAACCCTCACAGGGCATAAGCTCTGTTCCCCAACCCTGGCGAACTGGAGTCAGAGAAGGCTTCTGAAATAATCCCCAAAGTTCAGTGGTTTGGAAGAACTTAGTTTTCCAACTCAACAGACCAGGCACAGAAATGGAAAGAGGCTAGTAAAAGCCTGAAGCAGAAAGAGGGTATGAAAAGCCTGAAGTCGGGGCTGGAGAGATGGCTCAGAGGTTAAGAGCACTGCCTGCTCTTCCAGAGGTCCTGAGTTCAATTCCCAGCAACCACATGGTGGCTCACAACCATCTATAATGAGATCTAGTGCACTCTTCTGGTCTGGTGGCATACATGCAGACAGAACACTGTATACATAATAAATAAATCAAAGAAAAGAAAAGAAAGAAAAGGCTGAAGTCTGTGGTCAGGGAGATACAGGTCATCCCCTCAAGGAGAAGTGAAGCTGCAGGGCAATTGGTAAAGAAAAGTCCCCAGACTATCTTGATACAAAATATACAGCTTTAATAAACAGAAGTAAGACTTACAGCAGCTTACACCAGAATCCAACAGATCTGTCCGGACGGACGCAGGAGCCAGGCAAAAAGAGAGCTAGCGGAGCGCGTTTGCTAGGTTTATAGGCAGGCTTTTGCCTGAGGGCGGCACGCCCCGAAAACAGAATATGATTGGCTGAACTCCCCTATCATCTCCGAAAAAAATACTGTTGAATATTTAAATGCTGCAAATTAGCACACTCGTCGTGGGTCATAAAAATGGGATTACACTCTCATTTGATGACCAGATGAGCCCAGATGAGTGGCTTGGCAAAAATCCCTGAGTTCTGTAGGCATTCAGGATTATGTTCTGGCTGTCTGGGGGCGATATGTTGGGGTGTGGTGTCCACCGACACCCACTGTTTATTGCACTCTCCAGATACAATTTAACGTAAATGATCTCAAGGAACTGAACCAAAATATATGGGATTTTTTTTTTCACTCACAGTTCTCTCCCATCCTATGAATGCAGGCAGCGATGAGCGGCGATTATATAAGTAAAACCAGATGAAAGGAAGGTGTGTCCGCACAATTACTCTGACACTTTTTATTCCCAGCAGTCCTTAGCCACCCATAAGATTACCTGCCTAGGCCCTCACTTCATCAACATTGTAGTCTGACAGGTTTTTCTGAGTCAGCTTGGTAGCAATTGCTTCAGTTCCATGGTGGTAAGTTCTTATTTATGTCTTGCAATCACCGCACCTTAAGGGGCAGCCATTCCCTGAACTGAGTTCCACCTAATACCACAGCGAGGGTATGGGACTCAGAAAAGACAGTAAGGGATAATGACACCGAGAAAGAAGCACAACTTAGAATTTGTCTGAATAAGTACACAGTGTGGTAGTAGGCACTGTGTTTTAGTGTCAATGTTGTAAAAACTAAACTGAAGGAGCCATGGGGATCTGAGAGACAGAACACCACGCTATGTGTCAGGAAGTAGGTACCTGGAAGCTGTCTATTTTCCCCAAGTCCACCTTCCTTCATGACAGATATCACCACATTCCCAGACACCGGAGTATAAGAGCCTAGCAGATTCTGGCTTCTCTACTCCTTCTAGGCCCTTCCCAACTCCAGGGATTGGGACGGGGACCTGAACAGAGGAGCTCTCAGAAGAAAAAGACGGCTATGAAATATCTCAAAAAATGTTCATCATCCATAGCAGGTAGGAGACTGCAAATCAAAACAACCTTTTGATTTTCATCTTATTCCAATCAGAATAAAA